AATCCTATACAATAAAAGTACTTCCAGAGGCATTACCATTCCTGACTTCAAACTCTATTACAGAGCTACAGTAATGAAAACAACTTGGTATTGGCATAAAAACAGAGATGTTGACCAATGGAATCGAATCGAAGACCCGGATATTAATCCACAAACCTATGAACACCTGATTTTTGACAAAGGAGCTAAAATTATACAATGGAAGAAAGAAAGCATCTTTAACAAATGGTGCTGGCATAACTGGATGTCAACCTGTAGAAGAATGAAAATAGATCCAAGAAACTAGACACTAAAACTCTAATTAACCCAATTAAAAAATGGGGTACTGATCTGAACAGAGAATTCACAACAGATGAACTTCGAATGGCCAGAAGACATTTAAGGTCATGCTCAACCTCCTTAGCGATCAGGGAAATGCAAATCAAAACCACTTTGAGATACCATCCTACACCTGTCAGAATGGCTAAAATCAAAAACACCAATGATAACCTATGCTGGAGAGGATGTGGAGTAAGGGGAACACTCATCCATTGTTGGTGGGGATGCAATCTTGTGCAACTACTTTGAAAATCAGTGTGGAGGTTTCTCAGGAAATTGGGAGTCAACCTACCTTAGAATCCAGCAATTCCATTCTTGGGAATATACCCAAGAGATGCCCAATCATACTACAAAAGCATTTGTTCAACTATGTTCATAGCAGCACTATTTGTTATAGCCAAAACCTGGAAACAACCCAGGTGCCCCTCAATAGAAGAATGGATAAAGAAGGTGTAGCATATATATACTTTAGAGTTCTATTCAGTGGTAAAAAAACAATCAATGATATCTTGAACTTTGCAGGCAAATGGATGGAAACAGAAAATACTTTACTGAGTGAGATAACCCAGACCCAAAAAGAGGAATATGGTATGTACTCACTCATGAGAGGATTCTACCCGTAAACAAAGGACATTTAGCCTATAGTTCATGATCCTAGAGAAGCTAAATAAGAAGGTGAACCCAAAGAAAAACATATATTTATCCTCCAGGATATTGAAATTTGACAAGATCGTTGAGCAAAAGTTGGGAGAAAGGGGGTGAGGGTGAATTAGGGAGAAAGGAGAAGGGGAGGATTGGAGAGAGCTTGGGGGAATGGAATAATTGAGATAGAGAAAGGGTGGATATGGAAGCAGGGAAGAAGTTATCCTAACCAAGGGAGCCATTTTAAGGTTGGCTAGAGTCTTGGCTCTAGAGGGGTTCCCAGGTGTCTAAGGGAATTTCCCCAACTATTACTGTGGGCAGCAGAGGAGAGGGTGCCTGAATTGGCCTTATCCTATAGCTACACTGATGAATATCTTGCATATCACCATAGAACCATCATCCAGCGATGGAAGGAGATAGCGACAGAGACCCACATTGGAGTACTGGACTGAGCTCCCAAGGTTCAAATGTGGAGCAGAAGGATGGAGAACACGAGCAAGGAAGTCAGGACTGCGAGAGGTGCGTCCATCCACTGAGACAATGGGACTGATCTAATGGGAGCTCACCAAGGCCAGCTGGACTGGGACTGATGGAGCATGTGATCAAACCAGACTCTCTGAATGTGGCTGACATTGAGGGCTGACTGAGAAGCCAAGGACAATGGCACTGAGTTTTGATTGTACTGCATGGACTGGCCTTGTGGGAGCCTAGTCTCTTTGGATGCTCACCTTCCTAGACCTGGAGGGAGGGGGGAGGACCTTGGACTTCCCACAGAGCAGGAAACCGTGACTGCTCTTAGGACTAGAGAGGGAGGAGGAAGGAAGTACGAGGGTATTGGGAGGAGGGGAGGAGGTGGAAATTTTTAATAAATAAATAAATATTAAAAAAGAATAAGAAGCAAGGGAGACCCTGTAGCCAAGTGTATGTCTATGAGATAGAGATATGAGTAAGTCTATGGGCTAGAGACGGTCTGTGGAGGGTGTCCAAGGCCAGCCTTGGGAAGTAATGCTGATTATAATCTCATGAATTATGTTCCTTGCCAGCTTCTAGAGCTAGTCTGTAAATCTATACTTATTTCTGACTTGTATTATCTTAATTAAAAAGAAAATTTATTCACAAAATCTCTGAGTGGTAAGAGGCTAATGTTCCATAAAGACACTGGAAGTTCTGGAGTAGGAATTTTTGAAACCTAGCAGGTCCATGCCTGGAAGCCGTTTGGTCGTCATGGCCCTGTCTCCATTGATAACAATGAACGGTCAGCACCTGGAAGCATCCTCACAGCTGCAATACTCATGCAAGATTCAAGACTACCTTAGAGAGTTCGGAGAGATGGTTTTCATTAGGAAAGCACAATACTCTTTTTGAGGATTCAAGTTCAGTGCCCAGCATCACATGGCTCAATGATTCCCTCAGTGCCACTCCAGGGAGACCCAATGCCTCTAACCTCCAAGGGCACCTGCATTCACTTACACAAACTCTCTTGCATACGTAATTAAAAATGGTTAAGTTTTTAAAAAACTGCATTAGGGAATGATCAAGGAGTCTGATCCAAATCCCCACATCCTTCATGGGAGGCCTGTTCTTTCATGACAAAACAAAATGACTATTCTCCAACAGGAACCCAAGAATCTCCCAAATGCTAGGTGAAGACATTGCAGGAGTGTGTTACTCAAGGCTTTTTTTTTTTATCTCTGTGACAAGTACCAAAAAAAAAAAAATCAAGGGAGCAAAATTAATGGTAGTTTTGGCTACACTGCAAAACTATGAAGATCACTTCCTATTCAGAGATACTCTGACACCTAAAAGAGTCTAGCAGCAATAAGACAACCGTAGGCCTAGGATGCTGTAAGGATGTTCCTACTCGGACAAGTGACTTATGCTCAGTGAACACAAATCAAGGAATGGCAATAAGGATTCAGGCTCCTCCAGTGGGGAAGAGAGTGGGAGAGATGGTAAAATAAGACCTTAGAGGTCATCTGAGATAACATTTTATTCAAGTGGAAACTGCGTCAGATAAATGAATGATTTTTCTCTACCCAAGTTTCTTGGTCAGTAAATATTTATAGCAAGGAAGAGGAACTATATAAATGTATTTTAGTTTCAGAAAAAAAGAAATTAATTTTTATTTATTTATTTATTTATTTTTCCATTCAAAAATTTACACTTTGTCCTACTTCCTCTCCAGCTCCCCCACTCAGCCTCCTCCCTCCCCATCCCTGCTTGAGAGAGGGCAGGGAACCCTGTCCTGTTGGAAGTCCAAGGCCCTCCCCCCTACATCCAGGCCTAGGAAGCTGTGCATCCAAATATACTTGGGTTCCAAAAAGCCAATACATGCAGTTAAAAAAAAAAAGTTGTCTTCTCAGTCAGCCCCCACTGTCAGCCAGACAGTCCGATTTGATCACGTACTCTTTCAGTCCCGGTCCATCTGGATTTGGTGAGCTCCCATTAGAACAGGCACACTGTCTCATTGGGTGGACCAACCCCTCGCGGTCCTGACTTCCTTGCTCATCTTTTCCCTCCTTCTGCCCTTCAACTGGACCTTGAGAGCTCAGTCCTTGCTCTGATTAGAGTCTCTGTCTCTATCTCTGTCGCAGGACAAATATTCTACAGTGATATTCGAGATAATCATCAGTGTGATAGTGGGGCAAGGACAGTTCAGGCACCCTCCCCCGTGCTGTCCAAGGACCTAGCTGGGGACAACCCCATGGACAACTGGGATCTCCTCTAGAGCCAAGTCTCTTGCCAACCCTAAAATGGCTCCCTTAATGTAGATATCTTCTTCCCTGCTCCTATATCCGCCCTTCCTCCATCTCCACCCTCCCAGTCCCCTAAGCACTCCCAAGTCTTTCCCTTCTCCCTTCAAAACAACTTTGAGATACCATCTTACACCTGTCAGAATGGCTAAAATCAAAAACACCAATGATAGCTCATGCTGGAGAGGATATGGAGTAAGAAGAACACTCATCCATTGCTGGTGGGAATACAAACTTGTGTAACCACTTTGGAAATCAGTGTGGTAGTTTTTCAGGAAATTGGGAATCAGCCTACCTCAGGATCCAGCAATACTGCTCTTGGGAATATACCCAAGAGATGCCCAATCATATTAGAAAAGCATTAGCTCAACTATGTTCATAGCAACATTTTTTTGTAATAGCCAGAACCTGGAAACAACCTAGATGCCCCTCAATGGAAGAATGGATAAAGAAAGTGTAGAATATATACACATTAGAGTACTACTCAGCAGTAAAAAACAATGATATCTTGAATTTTGAAAACAAATGGATGGAAATAGAAAACACTATCCTGAGTGAGATAACTCAGACCCAAAAAGACAAATATGGTATGTACTCACTCATTACTGGAGACTAACTATAAACAAAGGACATTGAGCTTATAGTTCACAAGCCTAGAGAAGCCAAATAACAAGGTGAACCCAAAGAAAAGCATAGATAGATCCTCCTGGAAATTGGAAGCAAACAGGATTGCTGGGCAAAAGTTGGGAGCATGGGGAAGAGGTGGGAGTGGGATTGGGGGAAGGGGAGAAGAGGAGACAGAAAAAAAATTTTTAAAAAAGAACAAGATAAAGAGCCTGGGATCTCTTTGTGCTCAATCCACCCTTCCCTGTCACAAAACACTGCACGTGTTGATTCAAAGGACCACAGTTTGAGATGCAAGGCCTGCTGAGGTCCCCATAGCCACCCTCTGTGGTTAGTGTGTGTGACACAGAAGTGTAGTCTTGAGGTGAGGGGTAGGATGGTGCAGGTAAGGGGTGACAAGGTAAAAGCATTCACACCTAAATGAGCCTAATGTTCTTTTAGGAGGTACAATTTACCAACATGTCCTTGGCTTTTCTAGTAATTAAACTTTGGGTGCTAAAGGAAACGCATGTGCTGATTACCAGAAAGACCTCAGGAAAATGTTACAGCAAAGGCAAATTGTTTTTCACCTATTTAGTAAACTTTTAGGCTGAAGAAAAATCAATACTTCACCAGTTCTTTCTGGTGTTGTTTATCTGATATGTCTCCTACGATACGCAGATAGAGCAATATAAGCATGGCCTTAATGAGAAAAATAACCGATGGCTGATCTGGAGCTGCCTTAAATGGCTGTGTGATGCTTGTTTAAAATGTTTCTTAAAGGACAAATTCATTATTTGTTGCCACTTTTCCAAGGTCTGTGGAGAAATTAGCTTAATTATTTCTTTGGTTGCCAGAACTTAGCAAATCTTCCCTTCTTGAGAAAGGGCAAATGCTATTATTCATTGGCTTTGAGAAATTCTTCTATAAATCAAAATATTGAAAGTATTAGACACCTTTCTCTGAAGGACAGAATATATTTTATTAGTTCTTCAGTGCTGGGACAGAAGGAAAGTAAGAGTTTCATTAGAATCTGTATCAAAATATGGAGGAAAGATATGGAAAGCCCAGTCATTGAAGATCTCATAAATATGTCTAAGAAGAGTGGCCTGCTATCTGCTACCACATTGTTGCAGTGTATAAACTCTTCGACTGCATCCTGGAATGTTCTATTCATTTACAGTCAAAGACGGGTGTGAATAACTCAGAAGTAGTCATTTAAAAGAAAATTAAAAGAAAAAAAAGAGGACAGTAACTAATGGAGAAAGTAGACCATTGCTACCTCCATCTCTTTCTGTAGGTTTTCTCCTTAGCACCAGTCATGTGATCCTCCAGTACTCATTCCCCATCCTCTCACAGTGCAGTCCATCCTGCTGCCCGTCCTTGCCACAATCAAGGACAGTCTTCCCACTACCCCGTAATTTCAGATATGAAGAGCAAACATGACTATCTTAGCTGATCCAGATTTCCTTCAGTGGAGTTTCCATTGGGTAAATTTCCACCTGGGCTGTGAGTAAGTGAGTTCTTTGTCTTTTGAGTATATTAATCGTGGACTGTTGGTCATGATCCAATCCACATCTTGCAGGGGTGGCAGCTCATGTTTGTTTGACTCTAGAAACCATTTGAATGGAAGCTTGTTTGCAAGGTTTCTCTTAAAACAATGTCATGGTAGTCTCCCAAATACAGACCTCCATGTCCTATAGAATCCAGAGCCTATTAAAAACAAAAACAAAAAAAATCTAATAACCAACTTTGTAGTGCCAGGAGCAAGGGAGGGGCCTTGAGACCCCCAGTTTTTATTCTAGAATCTTGAACAGAGATCTTATATCAGTCTACATAGATCTGAAAGAAAAGTATTGATTTTAAAACTCTCATCATAAGCATACTTCTTGCCTCTGTTCCTGTTTAATTTTTAATTTTGTTTTTATTTTAGGAACGTTAATGTTTTGCCTTCATGTGTGTCTGTGTGAGGGTGTCAGGTTCCCTGGAACTGGGGTTGCAGACAGTTGTGATCTGCCATGTGGATGCTGGGAATTCAACCCAGGTCCTTTGGAAGAGCAGTAGGTTCTCTTAATCTTGGAGCCATCTCTCCAGCCCCTGCCACTCATGATCTAGAAACTGATGTCATGGCCTACTTGCTCATCACAGCTCTCAGTGTGGAACACGGTCTGCTCCATGCCTCTGCTGGCTTTCCTAAGCCAGGTTTTTAAGACACACTTAAAAGTGTCTTCGCCGGCCCCGCCTGAGGACCAACTGCTGCTCTGGAGTAGAACAAGTAAGAAACCCCACAGGTTCATTTATGGAAATAGACTTTTAAAAGGACTCTCTCCCCTTTGTGCTATGCATACTATTTACTTAACATAAATTTATGAGCCTGCAGGCTGTTCTATTCCTCTTAGTTGGTACTGGGTGTTCCCTTCACCACTTTACAATCTGTTTTTCCACTTGGGCAGCACAATTCAGAAAAGCCATGGGGTATGAGCTTAGTCTCCTGCCTTGTAAACTGCTGGAATTAGGCATGGGCTATTCTAGGGCCACTTCTGTTCCGTGTGACCTTTCCCCTAGAGAGCTCTAGTTCCACAAACAGAAACGAGATGCCTGAGAGTTGATGCATGGAAAGTTATTACTGCCGAAGAGTGACCCTTCACCTACTAAACTTCCCCTTGTTGACTGTGCTGCCAGGCGGTGCAGGCTCGGCTCTTGGCGGGGGCGTGTGACTGACCTTTCATCTACTTTATCTGGCTCTGGAGAGCAACGAGGTACCTGCTCAGCTTCTGCAAGACCAGCACTTTCTTCTGAAATAATCCTGATGAAAACTGTGGGGCAGGAAGTTCTTTATTTTCAAACAAGCGGTGAGTCTCTCCCTGGCAGAGCACAGCGTCCTCTTGACCAAACAGCACATTTTCAGGAGCCTGGGCATCGAAGGAAGAGTTGGTGATCCTAGTGTGGAAAGAGCAGAGGAAGATCAGGAAAGGAGAGCCACAACCTTCCCTTCTTCCATACCTATGTCTTCTTTAGCCCCAGCTCTGGTTGTTGGAGTCCAGCCAGATCCCATCTGTCACTCAAGATCATAAACATGGTTTTTGAACACAGCACTTTGAATCCTCAAGTTTATTTTTGGAATGAAGGTTCTAAATAAGGAAAAGATCCTGTGTCTGTGTGATGGTTATTAAAATTGAAGACGTTCATGGAGATGTTAGGGTCAGAGCCTGGGCCCCGGCAGCTCTAACAAACCAGGCTCCACCTCTGGCCCTCCATAGGGCAATTAAAGGGACAAGGAATAAGACAGAGAAGATGTATTCAGTTGCCCACCTTGTCAAGAAGTCCAGTCCTAGCATCCCGAGGCTATCCTTGGGGTGTGAATATGGACCAGGAGGTAGGCATAGCTCAGCAGTTCTGGTAGAGGTGGGTGCCAGCCCCAGTCTTGCAGGTCAGGCAGTCCGAGAGGTGTGAAATCTCTTCCTGGGAGAGACATTCCTTCTATGGCTGGCAGCACACTTCAGGAGCAATTCCAAATTTCCAGGAGAAATTCCAACCCTTTGGGGACCATTGTTTCAATAGTCTGGTAGCCAAAAGGAGAGAACAAGGCCAGGTGGTAGCCACAGTGCATGCCTTTATCCCAGCATTCGGAAGGCAGAGGCAGGCAGATCTCTGTGAGTTTGAGGCCAGCCTGGTCTACAGAGTGAGTTCCAGGACAGTCAGCACTGTTTAACAGAGAAACACTGTCTTGAAAAACAAAACAAAATAAAACATAAAAAGGGAACAAGTATCTCTAGAATCTTCGCTGCTGTCTGGATGGTTACAAAAGAAGTCTAGTTTCTCTCAGATAGTCTGACTAAAGTTTACATGTAAAAGAGCATTGTAAAACATCAGTGTTACTGAAGAAACAAAAATATTGAATACTCAGGAAAGTTTGGTATGTTTTCAATTCATTTTGCATGTTGCGTGGTTTTTGGCCAACAAAGAAAACAGATATTCTTAGAAATGGAATAGCAAAAAGACTATGTAAAAAAAAAAATTACTAGTTGAAAAAAAATAGTATTTATCAGCCCTAGGCAAATGAAGCAGAAATGTCTGTCCAAAGTGAGCTTACCGAGTTCTTGCTTCCTGCTAACTCGCTCTGTTCACTCTTGCAAGCGAAGAGAGTAGAGCACTAAGTAGAGTGGTTCTGGTTTTTGCCTCTGATAGTTGTCCTACTGGGTTGTCCTTCTGTACTGTAAAAGGCAGGCTCCGAAGTCCAGAAGGGGCCACTCACAGTTCTCTTGGATTCCTAGATGAGGAGTAAGAAGCATCAAATTTCTCCAAGCTAGTAACTAATTCACCAGCATCTGGAGTGCTGAGTGGCAAGGCTCAGTTAGACCAAACAGGAAAGAAGGTAACGGTCTATCTGCAGTGCTACAGTCCCAGAGGGGTGGTGAAGGACTAACCACCACTTGTAGAACATGGTTGACTCAACTGGTGTTTCCAGAGATGTCTGGAGAACATCAGGTACTCTGTCCTTAGACTGTCAAGAAGTGACTCACTCAAGGCAATGTTGATATAATGCCTGTCTTAATCCTGCTCTGAGTTAAGCAAAGAAGCCACAAGATTACCTGCACTGAGTATGTGTCTTCCAGGTGACCCTGTGCTTGAATGTGAGTGCTTGACTATGTGGAAAAGTCAGAACATTTATCCAAGACTGTCACAGCCACATGAACCAAGGACAAAACAGGACAAGCTTTGGAGTCTTCTACATACACAGATGCTGTTTGAATTCTGAGGGGCAGAGCTATGAAATATCCTGTTTGGTAATGCTCTCAGGATAGCTAGGCAATGACTAGCAAACAGAGGAAAGTAATAAACCATGGAAGGACGCAGAATTTCAGCCTACAGTAGTAGCTCAGTACCAGTTCCCAGAAGATGCTGGACCCAACGAGGAGCTGGGTACATGCTCCTCAGGTCCTAGTTCTTGCTTCATGGCAAGCATATTGAATAGACGGTAGAGGTTTCTGGCCTGTCTCTATTATTTACCTTCTAATTCATTTAAAAAAAATCTGTTTAAGAGAATTCATTTGCCAAACGCTTCTGGTTCTCTTACTGCATCTGTTAGCATTTCAACTTTTGATACAATATTGACTCTCTTATTATTAAAAACTAACATTTCATTGTTTAACATTCAGAGATAAATAGAAGCAAAGATAAATACCGGCACTTCTACCACCAACATCTTACCACTATGTAAAATCTGGTATATCTTCATAGTGTGTGCATCTTTGCATAAATTTTCAAAATATTAATCACATGTGTATTTGGAAACATTGCTTATGATATCATGAACCTCTCCACCCCTTGGGAGGAAGGGGCAGGACTCACAGAAAAAAACAAAAATACTTAATAGAAATTTAAGGTCAAACTTTACTGAGGAATTAAAAGATTAGTTCACCTTTTTTCTCCAGATCCATGAAACCAAAGCATGGGTTCTATGACCTATACACTTTCTGCTTTTATGGTTCATTTGAACTGTTGCCAGTTCTTCAAAGAGAAGATTTTCTATGCAAAGAGAATATTTTCTAGCTTGAGGGATAATTGTGGGAATCTTTATGTGATTTATTATGGATTCATGATGCTGCAAATGGTCTCAAAAGTAAACCTTTTAGAACTCATGTCATGCTGTCACCAAGACACTCAGAAGGCAGCGGGAATAGGCCTGACTGCACGGGGACTGTAGTCATAGGTGTGGAAAAGCCTTGTAAAGTTCGTGACATCCCATTGTGTTATTCATGTCAGCGAGGCTCAGCAGTGAATGAGTATAAGTTTATGTGTCAGTATGCTTCAGGAACAGCAGAATAAAATACTTCCTAGAGACTTGACACCAAAATACTGGAAAGGTATGCCAGACAAAAGTTGGTCTTTTGGATGGAAATTAACATATTGGATCAATAGCTTACTTGAACTAACAATCTAGGACAAGATTTGACAAGAAGCATCTCAGTGGATGCTAACACACTAGATGTTCATTGCCCTGACATTTATACACTCCTAGGAATATAAATGAGGCTCTGACAAAATAAGGAGTACAATCTTTTATTAGTAAGGGACTTAACAATCTAAAGGAGAAGAAAACAAAGTCAGCATGTGCACACTTAATGTTTATGGACTGAATCTTATACTTTCACTCTATATTTGGGATGGTTTAACAAAAGTCGATTTATCAAGCAGTGAAACATAGTCAGTTAAAGGTTTTCTCGTGTGAAATTATAGGGTTAGACCCTGGAGGCGTGGTTGGGTAACAGGGAGGTGGAGACTTACAAGGAAGGAAGGCAGGTGAGATGGGAGTCTCCATAGTACTGAGGTGCTGGACTTGAGAAAGGGTTGACTTTTGCATGGAGTATGGAAGGCAGTTTTCAGGGCATGGGATGCTCACATTGGGTTGTTTGGACATGGTGGCATCTTCTGTCAAGACAGATTCTAAGGGTGTGATCATAGAAATGGATAATTGACTTGGTTTCTGAGGAGACAGCAAGGTGAAAAGATTAGTTGTCTGGGGGAACAAATGTACCTGGATTATTGACGCGAGTGTTGCCTTCAACCACAACAATGACAGGAATACCTGGCAAGGGTGTCAGCAGCCAGGTATTCTATTAATGGCAGCAACAAAAGGCAGTGAGCAGTATTGCCTGATGTCTTGAGCTTCAGAGTCCCTGTGATGCTCAAGGTTGGATGTGAAGCATGTGAAGGCAGGGAAAAGAGCAAATGAGATGGAGGAGGATGAGGCCTATTCCCCCTTCAGACCAAATGCCCTGTGTTATGAAAAGTTATCTGTAGTTGAGGCTACATAAAATATGGTGTCTCAGATTATTGCAAAAAAATGAAAAGAAGATTCAGAAGAAACTGAGGGTGTGGGGAGTTTGAAAACAATCTCTGTGTTCCAGGGAGCAGGAGTATTTGGTAGAAAAATGACGACATTTAGGGACTATGACAGATTAGAACAAGTGGGAGGAACAGGTATCAAATATGGTGAAATGAGGGGGAAAGCATTCAGCAGTGCTTCAGGAAAATCGAGGCATGGTTTAGGTAGATACAGTAGACTCTGGTGATTGGTGAACCCAACACAAATACAGTCATTCAGCTGTACTATTTAAATCAAATAGTACATTAGTACAAATCAAATGCTCACTCCTACATCTATATATGTTACAGGGGGAATTCCCCATGCACAAAAGGTTTAGCAAAGGCCTGGTCATTTATTTGCTGTCATACTGTGATGTAGACTGGTGAAGGGGTGGGAAGCATCATTGGGAAGACAATGGTTACTAGCCAGAAAGCCAGAAGAACAAGAAGAAAGTCAAGCTGAGACTCAAAGAAGTGGTGAGATGGTGTTGAGCTGGAGGGTGGAAAACTGACGAGTGACACATTGTACGTGGAAGGGGGTGGGTTATGATCAAAAGATCCTCACAGATGGACATCTAGGCAAGATTAGGAAGAATGAACTAATGAAGGAAATGGAAGAAGATGCTACAGGGAATCAAGAGACATGGAATTTCCATCCTCACTGTTTGGGGATGAAATAATCCCCCGCTGAAAACCACAGATCATACCAGCCCTTTGTACAAGGACAGCGTAATCACACAGAACAAGAACTGGCCTTTGGCAATAGTAGATGCCATATGCCAGGTTGCCTCCAAGTCACTGCTGGCGCATCATGTAAGATCCCGAGATAACAAACCCTAGGTTAGTCTGCCTTACACACGGTTCCCTTAGTAAGGATTGTTGCTTGCTTTGATGCACTATGCCCTGAGGTAAGCACCAAGGAGAATATAAGGAGGAGTTAAAGAGTAAGAAGTGAAAATTCCTGCTGTGTTTATCTGCAATACCACAATTACTGTGGTTGTTTCTGAGACACTGTGCTCAGTCCAGTTCATATTCACATACACACTATTTCACTATCTTTTAAATAAAAGTTAGCTTATACTATATACATATAAGCCAACTTCAAATGGGCTTTTTCCTAAGATGATACATGTGTATGGCATTGGTCTGCATCTGTTCTAGGTATGTAAAGCTGAGTGTGCCAGGCTCTACAGAACACAGCTGAATAGAAACAGCAGCATAAGCTCACCAAGTTGGTACTTTAAAAATATGAAACTGTAGCCATAATTTTTTACATTTAACACCAAATCTATTCTTTTTTTAAAATCCTCTAGTTTAATTTTCAAGAAATGTCAATACATGGTGTGAACACAATGTTGTGATACATTGTGGATTGGTTAAATGAAACAAATTAACATATTACTTTACATGCAGTTTTTGTGGTAAGAACATAAAATCTACTCAGTAATTTTCAAGTATGCTTGCAATCCATTATTATAATAATGGCCATGCTGCAAGGAGATCGTTTGTGTTCGTAATGCTGAAGTTTTGTGGGTTTTGCTCAACATCTCCAGAGTCTCCAGTCTCTGAGCCTCTGGTAACCATCATTTTACTCTCTGTTTTGATGGGTTCAGCTTTCCAGATTTCACACACAAGCAAGATCACACAGTATTTGTGTCCCTGCCTAGCTTTGTTTTCACCAAGCTCAATATCTTCTGGGTCCCTTGCTGTTATCACAAATGATAGGAATTGAAATGACCGGAAATGAAAAATTAACCAAAGAAGACAAATAAATGCATATGAAGCAACCAGAAACATGCTCAAAGCCTTCGCAGCAGATTCCATCAGTTTTTTTTTTCCATTTACCAATCTGATGGCAGAAAAATAATGCACTACCATCTCACTTTTATCTTCTTAGCCATTATTACTTTGAGCATGTTTCTGTTTGCTTAGTATGCATTTATTTGTCTTCTTTGGTTAATTTTTCATTTCCGGTGTTTGCCTTCCCTCATTGTTTCAGAAAAGCAAACATCAAATGTAATTGGAAAAGTTCTTGGGAGAAAGACGAATAACAAGTTAGGAAGTGACAAGCATTCTTCTTGTCCAACTGCAAAAATGTCAAGAGCCTCAGGATTTATTCTCTCTCTCTCTCTCTCTCTCTCTCTCTCTCTCTCTCTCTCTCTCTGATTGGTTTGGAGTCACAAGGACCAAACTAAGAATGAGTTGGTCTTCCTGTGTGTGTGAAATGCTGGGGTCTTAAAGTGTGTCAGAAAGTTGAGAATGGGACAAAAGCCTGTCCCAGAAGGACTCCTAACCCTGGGGACATGAGCTGCCGCTGGAGAAAGCTTTCAGTGACAATTCTGGGAATGTCACTTTTCGGCAGTGACTGGGTGACCTCTGAGTTCTCGCCTTGCCTTCCCTTTCCTGGTAGTCGGGACTCTCCCAAGGTTTCTTATTAGCAAACACATTCCCAAACAAGTTCATAACATGAGCTGTTTTGTAGTCAGTCCAACCCATCTGCCTGACTCTACCAATGGTCTTGCTTTCAGTGATGAAATCCCTCCCCCCAGTAGCACAGACCAAGAACACAAGAGAACCTTAACAAACTAAAAATGTAAACTTCATTCTGGTCTTTGTGAAGCACTGTGGTCCTACAAACACAGTGGCTTCCTCTTAGTTCTCCTCCTCTCTAGTCCGATGCCCTTTTTTCTTGCCTGTATATGAGGAATTAAAACACACATGGTGTTTCTTGCTCCGGGGATGTCTTTTCTAACTGCTCCACATTTACACAAAGATGAGGACATTTTTTTTCAAAATTACTCACATATCTTTCTACCATACTCATAGGTAGAAACTGTCTTATTTTTATCTTTACGGCCCTAGCACCTGTCTTGGTACCTGCTACACAGTAAGTCCTCAATAAAGTTTAATGGAATTCAATTGTTGTTAATAAATTTAAGCAAATTTCACAACCTCCAATTCTCTCTTCTCACAAGATGCTCTAAGCAATAGGCAGACTAAACTAGTCATTAATTCACTTGTATGTCTGCCCTTTCAATACTATAGTTTATCAGGATGTAAACACCCTTCCTCACTGCCTACCAATTATTTGGTAGTCTTACCCATCCTTCCAAGATCATCCTAAATACTAGTCCTCAGAGGCAGAAGTCCCTGATCACCAACTTAGCTCTCCCTCCCAATGCCCTCAACTTCAATAGCATTGCTGCTTGCTGTCAGGCATGATCAGTGTCACCACAGCCTCTGACACATTGATTAAGACTTTCTCGTAGATGGTTGCTTTAATGCCTTTAGTTATAATAATTTTTACACAGTGGGTTAAATTAAAGTCTCATGAATTTAAAACTAAGTGAGCACTGTTTTCGGCCCTCCACTGTGAGTCTGAGGCACTTAACAGTAGATGACATTGCAGCCACCAAGACACCTATGTTAGCTCCTGGGTCTACTGTCTTCTAAGTGATCAGAATTGCAAGAAATATGAGGCCCCAATCTGCCTAATTATCTACACCAATATGCTTTCATGAACATTCTCTACAGAAAACTACTCCGTCTCATCTGTCATTCTCTCCAAAAAGCTATCCATGACCACCAAGTCCAAGGTTGCTCCAGCTCGCATGTTCTCCATGTGCATTTTCTTTATGGCTCTTATCCTAACTTAATGTCCAAACTCAGTGTCCGTTTGTTTTAGTAATGACTATTTCCCTATCCAAGTTCACAACACCAAAAGGGAACAAACCATGACAGCTTTTATCCCACTGAAACATTTTTGAAATCACCATTTATCTGCTACATGTTTTGTAAATATTTTCTTCAAATTTGCTCATCATCTTTTAACTATAAGTGTTCTATGGTCAGTCTGCTAATTTTTTGTCACGTCTTTAGAGTTATTGGTGTGTGTGTGTGTGTGTGTGTGTGTGTGTGTTTTCCATGGTTTTCTTGGACTATTTCGCTAGAATGTGAAAAAAATTGAATAGATGAATAGGCTTCTCTTTAAGGGTTTTGCCAGTTTGATTCCACCCAAAACTTTGATCAAACTGTGACATCCTCAAAACTCCCATAACAATGTTATATTATTAGATTTCTGCCAGATAAAGGATGCAGAACAATTTGATGTAGGTGAAATTTAAAGTACAGCTGAAAATATAAAGAAGCCTAAGTTGGAGCTGGGCTGTTATGTCGGGCAGGTTCCGCTGGTTTGCCCCTTCCCAGCATTGAGTCAGATTTCCCATGCTTTGTGCTTACTCTTGGTTCACACCCATAATTCCCAAATAATGTCTGTGTTTCACCTTTGTCTCAATTGAATTCCCTTCAAAATTTGCAGTCAATCTTAGCATAGAGATCACAGGACGGTCTCTAATCACGGTACCACATGACACATTAGCCAACTAGGTAAAAACCTGACCTGACCATTCCGGCTCGGCCGCTGCTGGTGTTTCCAATTTTAGCAACAGCTACCACTGCACGGAAATGACATAGAGAAAAGCTGAGAACGACCTGGTAAATATTATTGGATGGGATAGCATGGCGACAAAATGTTGGTGACCTCGGTTCACACTTAGCCTTTGGTCATCTTTGAGCATCATATGACTCCACCTGATCCTTAATCACCTCATAGCACCACAGGGTAAGGCTGAGCACACAATGAACCTGAGAAAACGGGACTTCCTTTCTACGTGAGACCTACATATCATACACAATTTCCTTCCCTCACCAGATTAAAATATGTCCAATTTTCCCTGTGCCTTATCTTATGTGGAAAGAAATGTGAATCTGGACTTCCATTGTTTGGGATGTAATCCAAAATAGAAGGGAACTTCTACCTGATGTTCACCTGCTTTGTCAAAGAGTCTTGTTTCATTTTGACCTTCTGGACACATCTCTGCTCCTCAGAGCTTTAGATTAAGAAGGCTTCTGAGCACAGCCCAGGAGTTCTGGTGGTGTCTCTGTGCCAGCCAGCGCTGCTGCCGAGAGTCTTTTCAAGCATAAGCGCTGAAGCCGCGGCGCATTAAGTTACACTTAGTTTGGCCGCTTTTCTCCTTTCCTCCCCACCAACACGCCGTTGCTGACGTTTTTTTCATTCATCTCTAGATGATTTCTCAGTGTCTTGAAGAACCCACACCATACCCTAATTACAGAAAAACTATGAATGTTGAATGTCGTCACAGGCTTTCCCCCATAGATCTGAGCAAAATGCCTGGGTGCAAAGGCGATTGTAAATGCTAGCATTTATAGGTGACGGGCTAGACAGAGGGTGAACTGGAAGGAAAGCCAGGGCGCTGTCCCTAACCATGCCACACAAGTCGACACAGACTTTGACAGGACTCCTTCAGATCCCCTGTAATGGTGATGGTTTTGAAAGGAGAAAAATAGATGCTAGTCTTGTGAACAGAGAAGCCGGATAAGCAGTAGAATGCTGGAGTCTGGCTCCAGTGGCGAGCCTGCGTTGGAGATAGAAATTGAAAATCAGTCCTGTGACTGGGTGAGATCTCATAAGAGAAAAATGTAGAGTGAGCTTGCTCTGGGGTCACCCATGACTCCCATAACACCTGATCCTGCTTAAATACAAGGGTGGAAGGCTAACCAGGATCTTTGACAACAAACGGCCTTTATCTCCTCATTAGTTCCCATTCCATTGCATTTGTAACCAAGTCATTACCAGCTTCCCCAAACGCTGGCTTCAGTCTACAGCCCATTTAGAGAAAGCAGATGGAAGGGCGGAGGAGGCTGGGATGGCACTTCTGTGACAGGCTAATGTTTCAATAGCAGCCATTAGCTGAGCAAATATTGAGTAGTAACAAAGTGGGTGGGACGCAATGAGCATCTGATAGAGCCCTAATCTGTCAGGGACAGATGCCAGAGAGCCCCCAAATTGCAATATGCTACAAGGGCTGCATTCGGAAGCAGGGCAGTCAAACAGTGAAGAGAGGGCTTTTGGAGTAGATTTTGTGGAGAACTGACTAGAATGTCTTAGTCAAAGAGCAGGTTAAAAAAAAACTCTAACGGCAAGAAAACAAAGTCAGGCCGCAATCTCTTTTTATTTTGCATTTAGTTAACAGGTAGAAAGTGCTCCAAGAGAGAAACGAACTGGCCTTTCGCCCTCACCCTCCACCCCAGCGCACTTTTTAGGGGAGTTTTTAAACTTGAAGAGGTGGGCTGTTTGCTAAGAAGAAAGTGGGGGAAAGTGTAGGGTGGCCATTCCTTCCGTGGTCCAATGGCAGGAAAGTCCACACACTGAAAAGCAGCTGACTGGCTACTATAAAAGTCCCGCTCTGAGCAAGCACCAATGCGCTCTCAGAGCCAAGATTCTTGGAAACAGTTTCTGGCGAGGAATGCATGACATTGAGACGGCTCGGGAGTTGTAAACAAGGACGAGTCTGGGCGGGTCTGAAGCCCCTGGAGTCCCAAGGGGGTAAACTCCAGCACGTGTCGTCCCAGTCATTCCAGATGCCCCGCCGTAGCCCCCCCAACCCCCCCTCCCGTGCCCCGCGTCCTCCTTGGCCTCCCTCTCCCCCTTGCCCCTCGCAGGTCAGGGTATCCAATCCAGGCCTCTCAAGGGTCACAGTGCCGGGCCTTTTGGTGACGGCGTCCAAGGGGCGGAGCGCAAAGTTCTCCCTCTGTGCGGATTGGTGTGGCTCCAAGTTCAGAGTCCCAGTGACTCCTCCCGGTTGGAGTAGAGGTGGGGAGGGCTGGGAGGTAGATAAAAGACACGGGAGGTGGGAAGACCTGAGTGTCCACCAGTCACCCAGCCTGGAGCACCGGGGACCACGAGCCCACAGCGCACCTGCTCCTGCCCGACAGAGCTCCTGCCCCGCAGTTCTCGTTCCCCAAAGGGTCCCAGCCACCACCAGCCTAGGTGGGCGTCAGGATGAAGACAGCCCGCTTCGTGATGCGCAGCGCCAGTTCGCTAAGCAGCGCTGGCCTGGTCCCTAGGGAGGTCGAGCTATTCTCGCGCTACAGCCCGTCCCCGCTGTCCATGAAGCAGCTGCTGGACTTTGGTGAGAGGGGCCTGGGGGTCCAGGAGGGTGGCGCTGAGGCCGGGGAGGTCCCAGGATAGGAAGGGTTGAACTCAGATCTAGGACAACTGAGGTCCACTTGACTGAGAAACTCAGGGGCCTCAAAAGGCTGTGCACCTTGTGGTGTCCTACTTTGGCTACTTTCTGACAGTTTGTACCACAAGTGTAGGTCACTTGTTACCCTACTTATGCTCAGCTTCGACTCCACTTTCCTCTTCTGGCTGTCTAGATCTTTGAGTTGATACACACACACACACACACACACACACACACACACACACACACACATATGTTGCTTTCAGCTACCATTTTAATAATGAACTAGAAACTTTCTCCGTTCTTCCTGTTGTACAACACAAACTAATTTTAGACTGCTAGGTTTAACCCATACCCACACACACACCTACACTGTCAGCCTCTTAGCACGCCAAACAAACATCTTTACCATTCTGCTTTTATTGTTTTACAAGTGTTTACATTGCTACTAAAATAAAGCCAGTTACTCCCTTTCTGCAACGAAGCCATAAGGAGCATTTCAAGATGCTAATGTGGTATAGTTGATTGTTAGTCTGAAAATCCCTCTGCCTCCTTCCACCCAGTCTTTCCTCGTCCATTCTCCTTAGAGAATGTTGTTGACTTTGTGGGAAAGCCTGGCCCTGCTGTCATGGATAGGACAAATGGAGAGTGGTCTGATTTCTCCAGAGTGAATTCTCCTCAGCAAGAAAATAAACAGAGATTCACTTATATTGGTCATTCTCAAAAGAATAAAGGGGGCAAATGGAAAGAAAAATATACGAAAGATATCTATTCCTAAGGTATTTATAAACACTGACCTAACTGTGGTTAAGATATCATTTTCCAATGTCCTTTATAGTCGATATTTATTTTCTATCCCCCCCCCAACTGAGCATGCTTTATCCACTGCAGGTTCAGAAAATGCCTGTGAGAGAACTTCTTTTTCTTTTCTGCGGCAAGAACTGCCCGTGAGACTAGCCAATATTCTGAAGGAGATCGACATCCTCCCGCAGCGACTGGTGAATACCCCTTCTGTGCAGCTAGTCAAGAGCTGGTAAGGGGCACACCTAAGTCTCACCTAAGTAGCTCTCCTTATGCCGTGCTAGCATCACACTCAGATCACACGTGGTCTTGACAGAAAGTAGTTTTGAAAGTTGTAAGTAAGTTTGTATTAACTTAGGGCAGGTTATCATTAGGATAGATAGAAATCAAGAATAGACTTTTTTTAATACCCTAAAATATCGTATTCCTTTATTTTGGGTGGAGATTTGCTTTTACTTTTGTTTTGTTTCTTTCCTTGTTTGTCTCTCAAGACAGGATTTTGTGTACCAGAGGCTTCCTGGAACTCTTTCTAAAGCTTAGTAAGGCCCTGAGGTCCTCCCTACTTGCCTTCGCCTCCCACCTGCTGGGTTATAAAAGCATGCACCACCATACCCAACTTTCACTATAATATAATTTTGACTTGTGGGATACATTTGAAAAACAGTCAATATATGTAGTTTTATTTTGTGCTTTACATAACAAAGGATGAAATCTGAAATTGCACAAACAATCCATTGCCTAGAAATAGATCAGAATGTCTGCTAGTTAGAGGGAGTCTAATCTTTGTTTCTTTGTTATCAGTAACTAATGAAAGTGAGCCTTGGGTTCAGACTCTGCCTCTGCATCTCCCTTAGTGTCTTAGCAAGTGTCTTAAACCCTCTCTGCGTCAACTGCCCCACCTACTGTTATAAGAGTTGTTGCCTATAACTAACCTAGGTTGTTTATTTTTTTTTAAAAAAAAAAGACTTAAACTAATACACACCAAAGTACATGGCCAGCATTTAATGTCAGTTTCTATGATTTTTGTCTTGAAATTAAGAGTACTGATACCTAGCAAGCAGATTTTTGGAGGCAGATCCATGCCATAGACAGTAGTAGACAAAGTGCCCTACCCCACCTAGTGCTGCGCAATGTTTCATCGTGATTTGCCCTTAGGACGAGTGCAGTCTGCATTGTACATGCAGACCCTTGTGCTCCTTGTCAAGACTCTGGCTCTCCTGAAGACTACAGTCTGATAAATTATGAAACATTTTCTCAAAAGTTGATTATGAGTGTTTTCAGTAGAAGATGAGACAACATCTGTCACCCAAAGCGGCTAGAAAGCAAAAGGTGGAAAACTGCAGCTTTAAAAACGTCTTAACATGTTCTCTCCCAATATCCTGAAGAAAATTTGCAAGGTTAAACATAGTGGTCCTTTCCCCTTTCCAATAATTTCAAAAGGTATTTTATTGGTAGCCATTTCTTTGCATCTGACATTAATTCTAAAGCTTCTGCCCTGCCAGGTACATCCAGAGCCTGCTGGACTTGGTGGAGTTTCATGAGAAGAGCCCAGAAGACCAGAAAGTTCTGTCAGAGTAAGTTTTTCTTGTGAGAATGCATGTTTATAAATTCGAGCTCTTCTGAACATAACTCAGATTGTTTTAAGACCTTTAAATTAAAGAGCTCCAACTTCCACAGCAAATTCTTACTCCTTACAAATTTTGGCTTGATGGCTTTAGGAGTGAAGGAACATAGGGCTGAAGTGGGTGCTATGTGAGAATGAACATAGAGAACTTACAGTTCTTGCTATCCAAGGAATTCCATGTGCACTTTAAATTTAGTCCACTGGTTCTGTTCGCTGGAGAGTTCACTGTAACATAGTCTTAATGGACTTCTGGGTCATTGGTGATTACATATTTCCTTTTTGTTTGACAATTTCTAACTTGATAAATAATAATATTTTTAAGTTGACAAGAAACTTCAAGGGTTTTGTTTTCCACAGTGTCATGGCAGAGCCATCTTTGATTTTAATTATTTTCTGGTAAGTAGGCTTAGTGAATATTTTTAATGAGTGCGCCTGTCATACAGTGAGTCACCTGGAACCTAGACACACAAACCCTCTCATGAAACTGCCTCTTCACTGCAGTAGAAGAATGTGTGGTGACAGTCTGAAAGTAGCATCATCCAGCATTTTATAATTGGCTGTTCTTGAACTGATGCTGAAAAAGAATGTTAGTTTTCTCTGAAGCAACTTAAGAAAGAGACACATGGGAAACTTCATTAATGTCTGCTAACATAAATGTTATAAATGTTCTGGCTTAGTTTTGTAGACACACTCATCAAAGTTCGGAACAGACATCACAATGTGGTCCCTACGATGGCTCAAGGGATCCTTGAGTATAAAGACACCTGTACACTTGACCCAGTTACCAATCAAAACCTTCAGTATTTTTTGGACCGGTTTTATATGAACCGAATTTCTACTCGGATGCTGATGAACCAGCACAGTAAGTGACCTTCTCAACACATGGTCTGGAGGTGTGGGTGCTGCACAGAAGCCATGCTGAGGCTGTGCCCATGACTGGGGACCCACATCCTTTCTTCATGGCAATTCTAATCACCACCTTGGTTTTTATAACATGCCTTTGTTTTCATTTTTTAACAGTCCTGATATTCAGTGACTCAAAGACAGGAAACCCAAGTCACATTGGAAGCATTGATCCAAGCTGTGATGTGGTGGCAGTGGTCCAAGGTAATTTCTAGACTCTGTATTTCCCTTATTGAAAATGTATAATGCATGTCTGGCAAATCCATAATGTTGGTGATTCTGTAAATGAATTTGTGTTCACCGTGTTCTGTTCATGCTTTATGAAGTCTGCCAACAAGATCCCTTGCTTTTGAGTGTCAGAAGTGTAAACACTCATTTATAGTATTATAAAAAATTTAAACATAAGCGGTCTGTGTGCCATATTCTTATATATTGTATTTGATCTCTGAAGTGCACATATTGCTATTGGTACAACTTCAATAAAATATTGTTTTAATGAAATATTAAAAAGACATTTTTCATACACATAAGCCAATTCTCCAGTGAATAGAATTCTAGATTAAGGGTAATAAACACATTGAATATCCCTTGACAACTGTACTTGGAATAAATTTATTTCATTGTTATGAAAAATTTCTATTTCAGATGCCTTTGAGTGTGCAAAGATGCTCTGCGATCAGTATTATCTGACATCGCCAGAATTAAAACTCACACAAGTGAATGGTAAGCTAGCGGCAAGATACAAGTCAACCTTTGTAAAACTTGATGTTACTTTTTTTGTAAATATAAGGATGCTTTTATGCTTTTTTTTAGTCTTCTAAGCTTGCTTAGAATTTTTACAAAAAAAAGGTTTGTTTTGTTTTTTAAGCCAAACGTCTTCCTAATTGCCTCAGCTGAAAAGCTTCAACTGTGTATATCATGTGCTAACAGCAATTCCTAAGGAAAAATGTTTGAACAAAGACTTATGCAGGCTCTAGTATCTTAGGTCAAGGAAAGATTGCTGACTATAAAACATGTAAGATAATCTTCACGCGTGGTGCCTGCTACTGCAGCACTGGGGAAGTGGAGGAGTTCACGTCCTTCCTATAGTTCAAACTCTAGGCCAGCTGAGCTCTATGAGACTCTGCCTCAAAAAGTAAAATAAAAATGTCATATGAAGAATAAGGATATCTAAAGTGTGGAAAATAGTTGTCAATGGAACTATCCTTCTGAAGAAGTCATTCACAGGACCAGAGAACAAAAATACTTCACAAATTGTCCTAAAAGAAATAAAATAGACACAGAATGACAGATACCGCATGAGTCCAGTCTTGTGAAGTATGTTAGTAATAATCACACAAGTGAAGACTGCAACAGTGCTTGTCAAAGCTTCAGGGACAGGAGATAAAGGCTTGCTTCTGAATAGCAGTAAAGTTTCAGTTGTGTAAGAAGAACAAATTCTTAAGATCTGATGTACAATGTAGTTAACAGTATTGTACCATACACAGGAATTTGTCAAGTGGATTTGAACTTGTGTTGAATGGTCCACCACAATTTTAAAAATGTGCTGCAAAGATGTGCTACTATTTGGAAGCAGAATATACTTCAAAATTTGCACTCTATGCTGTCTGGTGAGATAGGGTCTTCACACATGGAAGTGATTACATGAACAATACAAGGGATGATTTTCCTACTATCCTCTTCTACTCCAGAAGAGAGCAGCTTCTCAGATCAAGGCATACTTAAATTGGAATGATCTTCTCTTTCCACACTATGTTTTTGCAAGTAATGTTTATACAGTAACATCTACTAGTGACGCAGCTAATAGTTAAGACTAACTCCGAGACTGAGGACATTGAATGTCAGTGAACACTAGGGTAGGAGCAGGACGGTGATAATGGCAAACAAGCTCAGAGAAAGCAGCATTGGGTTATCCTCGCCGATAAACTGCTTGTACCGCTGGACAAAACAAAGGCAGGATTGTGCCAGACCTTCCTTGTGTTTACTCATTCAGACTTTTCCCAGGCCTGAGGCATCAAAGAATACTTCTATTTTTCTTTTCAAACAGTATCATGTGGTTTTTGTTTCTGTTTTCTTTAGCCTGTTGGTGAAGCTTAAGCACATTTAATCTCTATGTTTAAAATTTTTGGTGATAAAAAAACATGTAATTAAATATGCATTGAAATATGAAAAACAAAACTATCATGAATTTTAATGTTATAAACCTAGCTATTCTTTCTATCTTCAAATACATTTAGTTTTAACACTGAAATTGTATAGTTCAAACATGTTGAAAGTAGAACCATCTATGTAACATAACTTACCCCACCATCTCACTCACCAATCAATTATAACTACATTTGTAGAGACATGCAAGCATTAATTTAAAATACTAGACAGCAGTCGGAACAGCATTTTGAAAATAAGCCAGATTGTTGGGAAGAGAGAGCCACTTGATTGTCCCCGGCTGCTTAACCTGGAAATAATCACACAGAAACTATATTATTTAAATCACGGCTTGGTCCTTTAGCTCTAGCTTCTTATTGACTAACTCTTACATATTAATTTAACCCATTTCTACTAATCTGTGTATTGCCACGTGGCTATGGCTTACCGAGTAAAGTTCTGTCTGGCTCCAGCAGGGCTACATGGCTTCTCTCTGACTCCACGTTCTTTCTCCCAGCATTCCATTTAGTTTTCCCCACCTAGCTCTATTCTACCATATCAGGCCAAGCCAGTTTCTTTAGTCATTAACCAATAAAGGCAACACATAGACAGAAGGCCCTCCCACACCACCAGCTGTCTTTACTGTTTAAAAGGGAATATACTAAATCACAGATGAGGAAAATGGTGGTTATCCAAATCTTGTCTAAAACTGAAACAATAAAACACATACATGTAAGTTCATTTCAGCAAAAGATTTGATTCTCAATTCTGATTAGTTAAACTTTTTTCTAGGAAAGTTCCCGGGCCAACCAATTCACATCGTGTATGTTCCTTCCCACCTCCACCACATGCTCTTTGAACTCTTCAAGGTATGGCATTTCACAGCAATCTCGGCTTTGCCCTTGAGCAGTTCTCGCCTGACAGTGTTATCATTTCTCTTTAAATAAGAACCTTTATATATTTGTCTAAGAATCTTTTGGTATAAAGGAGCCATATAGCCAGTGTTTGGGAAAGTGCAGAGAGAACATAATAAACAATGTGCTTGAAATATGCAATATGACTCATGCTATCTCAGTGTTGAAGAGTGGAGAGGGTGCTCCTGTCATTTCTCTAGATGTGTAACAAAGAACTAGTTATTTCTCTTTAAAAGAGGCCACGGGGTGAATGCATTAGTGAGTGAAGTCTTGCTGCCTTCATACCATAGACTCTCCAGCTACACACTCCACCTCTAGGACCTCTAGGTGGGGCAGCCACATTCTGAATCTAAACCAACCAATCCCATCACATGTGGATTTGCTAAAATGCAACATCCAGTGCAGGTCTGGAGAGTGTCCAGGATTCTGAATTTCCAAGAACAAGATGGTTATCCACAGTCCATACTTTCTATCCAGCCTGAAGGACCCTGATTCTCAGACAGTGTGTACCATAACCATCTACAGGACTCGATGAAAGACAGGTGGATGGAAATGTATAGATTCTATAGGTCCAAGAATTTACACTTGTGCACTGAAGATGTCTCTACTTTGGGTAACTAAACACAGATAACAAATCCTTTTATGCATTCTAAGATCATACTAATACTCTGACCTTAAATCAGAAAAAATAAAAATCACTTGATTTGTGATATTCTCCAAGATGATTTTATAGATTGACAGGAAGAGGAAATCTTTTCTAAAAAAGTAAAATTTGCCTCTAATGCTGACATGAGACCTGGATGTACTATTTCCCAACTTAATCTAATATTTTGCAATGAAGTATGGTTAGACTACTAAGAACTGATCTATTTTACTTCACTCCAATGAATAGTTGGTATTATACAGAGATACCTAAGGATGATCAGAAAGGAAAATAGTCTAATAATGTGAGCCTTTGCCTACAGGGCATTTCCCCTGTACGCTTGTTTTAGTTTATTCTGTTAAAGAACACGTGATCCATTTTCATCGTTTTAGTTTATTTTTAATTGAGCACTCTAACTCAGAGTTATTCTGCCATCACTGGTGAAAGTTAAGATGATATTCAAATGCAAATAGAAATTTAATTTAGAATTATTGACTGTCCTTTTAAATAGTAACAGCCTTTTTTCCAGCAAGTTTTATAAAAGCCAATAAATTGGTTCAATGATTCACTGTTCATTCCTTATGTAATAGTCTTTGGTGTTTAGATATAAAATGTAATGGAAAGACAGAAAAATAGAGCACTAGGAAATGGACTATAAAAACCAATTTCTACATTTAAATTAAGCTTACAAATAAGAACTTGACAGCTAGCAGAATTGTTTTTCCATTAGACATTACTCCCAGGAGTTATATTACATTGGTAAATGAAGATTTTTCATTATATATTCTACATGACACATTCATAAATGACTATATTTACAGAGATGTTTTATCACTCACTTAAGAAGTAGGAACTTTGAATTACCCTCTGCTGCTTTTGTTTTAAACATAAAACCAGTTATTTACTGCTTCTCATTGTTCCCCCATTGAATTCCTTATGGTTCTGTTGTCTTTAGAATGCCATGAGGGCCACAGTTGAGCATCAAGAAAATCGCCCTTCCCTGACACCAGTCGAGGCAACTGTCGTCTTGGGAAAAGAAGACCTTACAATCAAGGTAAGCACTCCCTGCATTTGTTTCTGGTTCTGTCTAGAGAGAACTGAAAGGGGCCTATAATAACATGGTTTTCCATTTGGGACAACTCTCGATGACGCCATGTGTACTGGGTGACTTTTGAAGGGACGGAAGAGCTTTTCCTGTAACCAGGTGCCCACAGTTGTTGCAGTGGAGCTCTGACCTATTGGCTTGCCTGTTTCAGATTTCTGACCGAGGAGGTGGCGTTCCTCTGAGGATCACTGACCGACTCTTTAGTTACATGTACTCCACTGCTCCAACACCTGTGATGGACAATTCACGGAATGCCCCTTTGGTAAGACCAGTGATACAGCCGAAGCCATTTCATCCACCTAGTTCTAAATGTAGAGTGAGAATTGTAAGAAAGTATTTAGGCAAGTTAACCAACTTCAGTTAAAGAGGCTTGCAGGAGTATGAGAAATATGAAAAGCAAGCTAACTTTAGAGTGAAGATCTATTTACTTAGGTTCTTAAACGTGAGGATGAGAGAGGCTACTAGTGTCTTTCCACATCTGGTACTCCAGTGGTCATGCCTACTTCTTCATTAACAATTGATCTTCTGTCTCCAGGCTGGTTTCGGTTATGGCTTGCCAATTTCTCGTCTCTATGCCAAGTATTTTCAAGGAGATCTGAATCTCTACTCTATGTCAGGCTATGGGACAGACGCCATCATCTACTTAAAGGTATGCTTTGAACTCAGTAGAAAACCAACTTTTTTAATTCATGGCTTTGTTTACTTCTCTGAGTTCTACAGTCCTCTGTGAACTCCTTAAACTGAGTTAATCTAAGTAATGGCAGTTATTAAAGTTTCTGTTTTGGTTTCGGTGTGTGCACACTTAAAATGCAGTTTACCCAAGAGTAAGCTCAGCCATGCAACCGGTTTGCTTCAATGGTTGACCCCGACGTAAGTGAAGCCTCAGAGTGACAGCACAGCGATGTGAACCTTGTTCAAACAACTCTTGACATCTGAGAGGGCAGCTAGAATTTGGTTTTACTCAGCCTTGTGGGTAACAAATGCGAATGATGTTCCAGACTGAAACAATAGAAATCAAGACCTCTGTAACCTTAAACTGACCCTGTTTAAAACCCAGGAAACAATTGCTGATGAGGTGTCAGTGGGGTGCCAGGCAATTCCTGTTTGAATTTGAAAACAAGGTGTATGTTTTTCTATCCCAGATAAAGCCTAAATTTGTTTGATCAGATCACCACCCCAATTCTGTTTATCACTTGCCAATGATTCAACTAAAAATTTATTTGCAGATGGTAAGAACTACAGCATCAAGTTTCTAGGCTTCCATTTTGTTCATGGGAATTAAATGCTGAAATGTATTTATTCATTTATGAAATGGACAAAAGTGTTCAAGCCATAGGGAAAGAACTCTTTAATAGATGGACAGTATCTTCTTAGGTCTCTACCAGAGATATGTGGGTTTCTCACTCTAAGGAATCGCTTTCCTCTTCAACTCCATTACATCAGAGGAACCCAAAAGTCATGTGGAAATAAAGATGATAGTTTTTTAGTCTTATTTTGGAAAATACCTAGAACACCATGGTTTTGTTATATTTTTACTACAAAGTCAATTAAATGAGAATATTTGGATATTAAATAACACCTCTGAATGTCTTTTGAATAATGAAGTGCAGCCATGCATAATTTCCCTAATTAGATATTTTGTCTACTTCTTGCTCAGGCTTTATCTTCTGAGTCTGTAGAAAAGCTGCCTGTCTTTAACAAGTCGGCCTTCAAACATTACCAGATGAGCTCCGAAGCCGACGACTGGTGCATCCCAAGCAAGGAACCGAAAAACCTGGCGAAGGAAAAGGTGGCAGTGTGAAGAGGGACATGTGGACACGTTATGGGATCAAAGTGGGTCTAAGGCAGTGCTGCTTCATGAGTGTGTGTGGACTTTTGTTTCCGCAAAAAACAAAAACAAAAAACCAGCCAAGCCAAAAACAAACACCAGGACAGACATTGACCTAACGGGGACTAGAGCTCAGTAGTGTGATCTAGGAGAAGTCAGGGCCTGACTCCAGCAGGCAGCAAGTGACCTGCTCCTCATTTGGCAATGCAGAATGGTTTGTGATTATTGCAACTATTGAGTTTTATCTCTTTCTCAACAAGTACAGGATTTGAGGTTTGCAATTTCAGCTGGTGGATGTTCTAGAATTCTCATTGCCTTCCAAACATATTGGTGTTCAGTGAAGATCACTTATTGAGACACTGGTGTTCTCCTGTCCCACAGAGATTAGAGTGTCACTAGGAATGTGCATTTGTAGGTGCTGATGTGTTCTACAAAGGACAGGATGGAAGAAGCCAAAGCACTTTATCTAACTTGCAGCCTGGGCAGCGCAGCCTATGTGCAAACTCAGATGAAAGCCTCTTTGGCAAGACAGCTCTCCTATCATGTAGCCCTTCTTGTTTGGGCTGCAGTCCATTAGCCAGTGTTCTCGGCTGGTGCCTCGTCTTGAGTGAATTGTTAAACACGCACTGCCCTCAAGAAGCTGGGTTAGAAAGGGAGATAAATTGCCAAAGTGCAAAAATTGCATGTGGGAAAACCCATGTTAGGAAAGAAATCACACCCTAAGAACTTACCTGGGATGTTCTCTAACTGGAAGTTGTGAAGAATCTGAATGTGTCCGGGCTTAAAAACATGTGCATTATATATTTTAAATATATTCTCTACACTCCAACATTAACGTATCTGTCCACAATTTCCTAATTTGCTTGAGAGTGTTAAAGTTAAAAGCCTTCTTGGAGGTTTTTTTGTTTTGTTTTGTTTGTTTGTTTGGGTTCTTTAAAGGAGTAGGCTGGAAGTAAAAAGTTCCAGGCCAGGACAATGTCATTTGTGAATCATGGAGACTTTGAGAGCTAACAACTAAAAGCTGTCATGTTCATGGTGCTCGGGAGCATGAAGGTAAAATTGGCAGGCGGGGATGATCTGCCTTATCATGCAGGTCACCCTTAGGAAAAAAAGAAAGAAAAAATGAAGAAGGGGAGGAGTGGAGAAAGGGAAGGAAGGAAACGGGGGCAGACATCTTCCTATTGTCCCCACCAGCTCCTCCAACAAATCCTGTGCTTTATCCTGGGTAGAGAGGAGAATAAATTGGTGTCTTTGAAAGCAGTTTAGATTCTTAAATGGGTCTCATCTTACAGGTAGAGGGACTTTGTGAGATAATAAATACATTTGTGTTAAATTAACGTTGAAATTTTTTCTGCATTGTAAACTACCAGTCCTGTGAACGGTAGTCTGAAACCTACAATGAATTCCGTGCTGATCTAGTGCTGATGTGCTGTTCTCTGTGGCAGCAGAAGTCGCAACTATTTGTTTTGGATTTCACATTTTATCTTTAAAAGTCCTGGTCAGTGACTTGGATGGCAGGACTTTGAATCCTGCATTGACTGACCGTACAAAACTGTTAGCATTTAGCTTGTCTGTTGTGTTCTTGTTGCTGTTTTTCTAACTGAAATGTCAGCTGTATGTTTGTTTATATAAACACCTGTGTTTACCAAAGATCTAAGGCATTTGGTTCAATAACCCAAACACTGTGAGCTATATTTAAAATAGTAAAAAATCTTTAGAATCTCAACAGCGTCAACTGTATAAGCTAAATTGAAACAGTCTTCCCCGTTATTTCTGAACCCATGGGAGACTTTAGGCTGCAGTGGATGGATTTGAATGCTCAGGCCCACTTAACTTATTAATGTGTGAATTACATTTTGTCTTTAGGTTATGTGCAGAAAAAATGTGATAATTTTATAATAAATATTTTTATTATAATAGTAATGTGGTCTTATAATGTTCTTTCTTAAATAATCTCAAAGTATCATGAATGATTTCAATCAAAGGGACTCATCACTTTATATTCGGACATAACTCATATTTATGCTTAGTGTGGTATTTGCATGCATACTGTGAAATATCAAAATAATAACCTGGATAATTTAAATTCCTAAATAACTTTGAGTTAAGAATCTGCATGATAATAACATAGAAATAAGATAGAAATTGCTAAAATAGGGCCAGCAATTCAGTTTGGTGGGTAGAGGTAACTTACACCAAACCCCGGATCTGATTTCAGCCTCTGTAACCCACACAGTAAAAGGAGGGAGCAGAATCCCCCAGGCTGTCATCCAGCCTTCACATGTACACTGCTACATGTGCACACCATGAAAACATGTGCACGGCCAACACAGAAACAAAAGGTAATAATGAGAAAAAAAAAGATTTCTAACTTAAATCATGGCTGATGTCATCTCTGCTGTTTGGAGCCTTTAACTAATTCAATCCTCCTATGCCTTTACAAACAACTTTGCTTCCACCATAGTGCTTTTACATGGTGTATTAGTTATTTTTCTATCACTGTGATAAAAAAACACAATGATCAAGGAAATATAGATGGAAGGGTTTATTTGGAGTTTACAGTTTTAGAGGGGTAGAAGTCCATCACCGTCATGGTAGACAGCATGGCGGCAGTCAGGCACTCGCGGCTCTGGAGCAGTAGCTGAGAGCTCACTTTCAACCCACAAACAGGGAGCAGAGAATTCAAAGGAGCTGCTGGGAGACATTTGAAGCCCCGTTCCATGATACATCTCCTCCAACAAGGCCATACCCCCTAACCGTTGCCAAACAGTTTCTCCCAGCTGTGGACGAAGTACTCAAACCAAAACCTATGTGGGACTCTTCTCATTCAAGCTGCCACATTCTACTCCCTGGATTGTGGCCAAATCATAATGAACAGTAGAGTCAGTTCAACTTCAAAAGTCCCCATAGTCTTTCACAGTCTCAACGCAGTGTGTAATTCCAAAATCTCTTCTGAGACTCAAGGCAATCTCTTAATTGCAACCCCTTGTAAAATCTAAAACCAAATCTCATACTTCCAACATACAGTGGCACTAGATGTACATTACCAATCCAAAAGGGATGATGGGTGGAGGCATAATGAGGAAATACTGGACCAAAGAGAGATTGAAACCCAGCAGGTCAGATTTCAAATTCTGGAGCATCTCCAAAGTGAGAGGGCATAAAAGACTTCACCCTTCTTGTTTTGCCGATTCCAGCACACTTCTTTCCCTTGGCTTGGTTCACCTCTGAATCTGCGCTCTCTTTGACAGAAGTCTCAGGGCTCTAGCGTCTCTAACACCTTGAAGTTTCAGCACAATGCAGGCTTCACTTTCACCGCTCTCCCTTTCTCCAGGCCTCCGTACAGAGACTTTCCAGCTACACACCTGGCCTTAGTGACACTCCTAAACCGCTGAGGAAGAGTCTACAGTCTATCTGCTGATTTATCTTCCATCACTCTAAAGCCAGAACCACAGGAACCACCAAATTTTCAGCAACCTTTGCTTGTTATTTTTTAGAAGCATAAAATTCCTTAGGTCTTTTTCTTTTCTAATGTGGACGCTTAGTTGCCTGAAGGTACTCCACCTTTAATTCCAGTGGGAATCCGGCCTCTTTGAAATCTCTTTATCTGTTTCAGGAGAAGCCTTGGCACCAATAATAAGTTTCCTGGTACTTTTCTCTCTTTATAATGTATACTTGGTACTTCTTGGTGCGTTTACTTGCTCTTTTTCATTTTACACCACCATAACTGTGCTCACTAATAACCTCAGAACAAAGTCAGTCTCAGGCTGCCTTGAAACCTCCTCCACCAAAGAAATTTAGCTCAGTATAGGTAAGTATATTTTACCTTGTCCTCAGGAAAGTTCTTTAGATGAAAGCAGATATCAGCCACATTCTTTGTCAACATACCACAAATATGGGTTTCTAGCCGAGTTGCTAAAGTTGTTCTGCTCTGAGAACTTTCGAGCTGGACCTCGACAGTCCGCATTGCGCTCGCGGTTTCCAAGCCCCTGTAGAACGGCTCATTGAGCTCCGTTTAGAAGGTTCCACTGCTTCTCTAGTCTGAACTCCCAAGTATTCTACCCTCTTCCAGAAACCAGCGAGGTCAGGCTCGTCACAGCAATAGCCCACGTTCTGGTACTAACTTTGGTACTTTTTTATTGCTGTGGTAAAGCACAAGCAGGCAAGTTACAGATGGAAGGGTTTATTGGGGCCTTAAATTTCCAGAGATGGTTTTTTGACTATCAGGGAGCATGGCAGCAGGCAAGGGATTCCTGGCTGTGAAGCCGCAGCTGAGAACTCACATTCCAATCCCCAAACAGAGCAGAGCGTGCTGTGCGGGAGGTCTTCAGTGCTTCAACGCCAGCCACTGTGACACACCTCCTCCCAGTCCTTCCCAAAGGAGCTGACCAACTGGGGATCAAGTATTCAAGCACATGAACTTGTCGGGCAGGGACATTCTCATTGAAACCACAATACAGGGCAAGTTTCAGCAAATGGGAAACAGGAAAGGAAATGGAGAAAGCTAAAATTGAGTAATGAGATTAGTGAAATGGGTTAACCATAACTAAATTTTGAAGCCTTATAAAATTAATTATATCTAAAGCAATAAATAAATAAATAAAAATCCTGCCCAATGGCTCTTTAGTACCTCTTCCCCTGATTTCATTTTCCTTCTGTCTGTTGAAGAACCCAGTACTTTCTAAAGAAAATAAGCATCTCTTTCTTCTTTTCTCTTTCTAGTCTCTCCCCCGACCCACCTCTCTCTCTCTCATACACCATACACACACATACACACACAGAAGGAAAAGGTGCTTAGCTGTACAGTTTCCTTGGTCCAAGCTGCTTGACAAGTAGAAAACACAATATAAATCCTCAAAACTTTCACCAATGTGTCATCATGTATGTGTGCAGGTATGTATGCGTGTTCATGCATGTGTGCAAATATGTATACATAAGTGTGTGTATGAAAGGCATAGGTGAACCTTCAGTGTTGTACCTCAGGAGTTATTCACCTCACATATTTTGAGACAGTGCTATGGTTACATGTACATGCCACCATCCCTGACTTCTGACATGGGCTTTGTCAGATGGACCTCAGATCCTCTGCTTGTGAAAGAAACACTTATCATTGTCCTATCTCCCCAGTCCAAAATATCTATCGTTTTTGCTCGTCAATGCGTGTCCCCACAGGATTCAATTATCTCGAATCAAAACAGGAGCCACATATTTGTGGAGATTACCTCTAGACCGTTTCACCCACACTTCAGACTTAGTTATAAATAGTCAGCTCATTTGATCTCAGCTACTGCAACTTACCCATACAGAGATCATTGGAGCCAGAAGCAGGTCATGAACTGTGACAATTCCTTTGATCTTCTTCACTTTGAAGGGCTCCATTTCATTTGACTATGGACCCACACTGAAAAGTATGTGGCCGCATCTGAACACTTTGATCTGGCCCCTGTGGGTGGAAGAGGGGAGGAAATTTTATTCTTCCACTAGCACCTATGTAAGAAGTAAAGAAACTTCCACAACATCTAAAGTGATGCATTCTGATCTCCATCACCCTTCCAGCCTTGTTGCTCTTCGTAATTCACACTGTTGATTTTTATCACTTACAGCCAGTAATTTAGAAACTCAATGAATATTCACTTGACAAATGCATAAATGAACAAACACATTCTTTGACTTCTGGGCTCGGGACAGATTCTTGCCATTAGAACAGTCTGTATCAAATAACTGTCCATGCCTTCTATGAGATTTAAAAGCTAAGTTATAGTCAAGAAGTTCTGCAGTGTTTCAGAGACTCTAGAATTTACTTCCAAACTAGGTACTTTACAACTGGCTTTTCTTGATATTACCTCTATTGATCACCTTTAGCCTTTGGGAATTACCATATATTTCAGAAGAACTTAAACAAAAGGGATAGGTAATTTCTGAGGCAATTTATTGAGCATGTGGTCTAGTTTTTTTAGATTTGATGAATATTCTGTCTTGCCCACTTGAGCTCTAGTGACAACCTGTTATTACCTACACATCACTGCTTCCTGTTCTCTAATGACAACCTGTTATTACCTACTTATCACTGCTTCCTGTTCATTGTGAGAGGAGTTTTTAGTTATTTTCCAAATGCAAGCTAAGATTAAAATCTACTCAAAACAGTAATATCAATAGTATTGATAATATATCAAATCTATTAAATGATGTGAAAATGATATGCATATACATAATGACAAACCCAGTAACAATAGAGTTCATCAACAAAAATGTAAGATATTATTTTCATTTTACTGCTACCATTTAATATAATGGTGGTAACACCAGGGTGATATCAAATAACATGGCAAAGCTAGGAAATATTTATTGGCATATTGTCTTCCATAAATGTAAATGAATGTTTTAATATCTGAGCTTGTTTATTGAATGTAATTCCAGAGATTTCATCTATTTCACAAATCTATGCCTTTCTGGCTAGTTTCTGGCCCCCAGATATACTTTGACATTTGGAAGAATTGCACTTCATTGAGTGCTTTCCTTTTAAATTTATTCTCAAGCATAATAACTTTGCTTTGGATTAAAATTTAAGGAAGGGACATTAAATCCAAAACTTATGGAATCTATATTTCTTATTAATTGCTTACAGATAAACTTTTCTACACTCTCTCGCTAACTTGCACGTTAATTTCCTTAAACCCAACTTCTCACACTATCACCTCCAGTACAAAACTCTAGCAATTTTCCAGTAGTCAACAATATTTCTGGTTTTCTACAATTCAGCCTAACAGATCAGTCTTGCAGTTTCTATCTGTTCAGTATTCTGTCTTCTGGACATGCATTTCCTTCAGCCTAAACCCCCACCTCTCTTCTCTTCTACCTTAGTGCTACTTAAACTACTAGACTCATCCTAACCCCGACCCCATGAACTGGACATCCCAGCATCC